GATCACGTCACAGCGGCTACCAGCCTCGCGTCATTTAAAAACAAGTTTAAGTCATGGCTAATACAAAAAGCCTTCAATACTGTCGATTTTTTCCTACCATGATTGTTTTATGTATAATTTTTATCCAAAATATCTGTAATTGTTTTTTTTGTAAAATATTTTGTATTTGGAGGTAAAACTTTTTTATGACTTTCAACGTCAAGATCTAATCATCATCGTTATCAAGAGCGTAACTACAGTGGTAGAGCCCACTTTAACATCTTCGCATGAATGGGCCGGCTCGCCCGGTGTAATATCACGACCACACAGAAGACAGGCGTGAAGTGGAAGCAATTCCGCGTTTCGTCTGATAGTGTGGTGCCGGAGGCCTAATTTTAGTTCCTTTTCCTTTCCATCTTTTCCTCTTAAGGAAAGGAAAAGTAGATTTAACGGTGGAGGAGACGCATAGGTAGGGGAAATGTCATCTTTATGTGCGTCTCCTCCTCCGTCAATCAAGGGTATTCAACACATCTGCAATTGCGTATGTTTATGGCCAGCGGTCGCTTTACATTTCGGTGGATTCAGGTGGCCGCTTGCTCGTATGTCACCTTGTATTATAAAAAAAACTAGAATATCATTTTAGAAACATTAAACTTACAAAAGATACAACTTTATGAAGCAACATAAAGAATGTTCGCCTTAAATATTAGAAACAGAACTTACTTGTGCAATTTACAAAAATTATATTAGATAAAATTTCACTAACTGTAACACACTGTATAATCTCTAGAGCACCTTAAGTTGAACTAATGGTAAAAACGGAAAGGTAATTTGTTTACTCTATTATCAGAAAGTGTTTGACGGCAATTCTTGGGAGGTATAAAAAATAAAACAATACAAATTAAGGGTCGCGTGAGAACACCCTATGATTACTGCGCCGACAAAATTGGAAGCAGATTTTATCATGTATCGATCATTTTGTTTACAACACTCGTTCTTATAAACGATAATGGCCGTGATAAATTTATTTAATTTATATGATAGATGTCGTTAATACGAAAAACGCTCACATAGTCATTATCTCCATGATCCACTCTCCACAAAATTCAATAACTCAGTTTTCAAGACAATGATGGCTTAGTGGTCAATGCCGATGGCAATATATTTGTTAGATATGGTGCGGCGAATTGAATGTAAATTTACTCAATAAAGTGTCTGTCCAGTACCAAAATAATAATAGGTTAGTGATCATGTAAATAATAACTTAGATATGACTAACTCAGAAGTCTAATAAATGAAAAAAAAAACCTAAAAACTACTGAGGTAGGATTCAAAAGTCTGCATTAAATTTGAAAGCATAACTTCTTTTGTTACGTGTTCATAAATAATTAACTCAAAGTGTTCGAACGTTTTGGTAATAAACAATAGTAAATAATGACTTACGGGCAACATAAATGATTCCAATAAATGTCACGTGGGCAGGTAATTTATGATTTGACCGGCTCTTGTTTATTGAAAACCTTACTTCCTTGTCGGTAATGGATTGGTAATTGTTGATTAAATTAAATGAATTTATATTACAAATGTATTTCAAACAGATTATAGAAACGTATTAATACTTTTTTTTTAATGACCTACATTTAAATGTCTGTTTTATAAGCTCTAGATACGGCAAAAATATATTTAAAACGTTTTTTATTTTTAAATAAACATAATTCACAATATGACGTGTTATAGCCACATCAAAGTCTAGGAATACTACATTTAGCGGCCGAGCAGTTGTTTACATTGTAAATATCAACACACCATTGACACTAAATGTGTAACCATCGGCTTGTCAATAGAAAAATGAAGCACAGAATTCAAAGGTTAAAGGTAAAAAGTGTATTTAGTTTTCACTTAACATAATTTGATTTTATTTTAACAAGAAAACCCGTAATGTTTTTAAAGCACAACGAAGTCTATCTTACTTCTTACTAATATTATAAATGCGAAAGTTTAGATGGATGGATGGATGGATGGATGTTTGTTAGCGTTTGTAGCCTAAACGGCTGAACGGATCTCCATGAAATTTGGCACAGGTTTAGGGCATAGTCTGGAAGAACACATAGGCTACTTTTTATCAAAGTCTGGCGTGCACATGGGATAAGGTTCATCCCCAAGAAATCTCCGGTTCCCGAGGGATACATAGCTTTTTGTTATTTATATAGTTCGTATGTTTTCTAATACCACACGGACGAAGTCGCGGGCAACAGCTCGTATTTGATAAAAATCTTCCTCTAAGATATTTGATATTGCTCGCGGCTTCGTCCACGTGAAATTAAAAAATAATAAAAAGTATAGCCTATGTTACTCACAGATGAATTACCTTTGTAACGGTCAAAAAAAAATTAAAAATCGGTCGAGTAGTTTTTGAGTTAATTCAATATATACTCTTTCCTCTTTATAATTAGTGCAGATTTCATTGGCCGGTAAATCGTTTACGTTTTTCCTTTCTTCTCTTATAATTTTTTTCTCTTCGAATCAACGACTGCATAGTTTAATTCGAACATTAAAAAACATACAGACGAATTGAATACCTCCTTCTTTTGGGTAGTCGGTCAATAACAACCGTTATGATCTATTCAGGAATTCTGGTAAACATTTTCTACGTTAGTAACATTTGTACGTGATGTATTTTGTATATTTTCGACATTTCAATAACAAAAGCAAAAGGCCTCGCCTAGAAATAGTGGTTTCGTTCCTACAGTAGTAATTTGAACATGTTTTCCCAAATTGCTTAGGGTTCAGTAGTGACATTTACCAAATTGCTCCTATTTACGAGAGAGCAAACGTTTGATGCTTTCTTTACTCGGTTTAGTAACTTGACTGTGGTAATTTTTGTAAGATAGGTGAAGAAATCTCATTGATTTTGATCGGTAGGTAAGATTATAGACGAGTTTAATTATCGAACAAAACAACGCAACACACACAACAACGTACGATAACAAAAAGTTGAATTGTTTTGTTAGCTTTTTAACTATTTTTGATGTGTTCTGTATTCTTAAAAGTTATTTGTTATTCTGTGCTTTTTATCAATACATTTATCTTTATTTAAAACAACGATATTGTTAGGAAAATATTAGGAAACGGAAGTAATAGTGGGCGTAGTTTTATAAAATGTATGGCAAGGCGTGGCTCGGGCTCAGTTGCAGTCTCGGCGCTCAGTCGCCAACAAGCTCAGTGTTTACTAGTCGTCACATCGGAACGTTCGATATATTTGCGTTGTCACATTGGAGTTCAGTTTGTGTGTTTTAAAGTAATTTACAAGTATTGTTAATTTGGCCGTCCGTCTATATTTTAAAGGAAGTCATTTATGGAAATATCTAACAGTTTGTTGCAATATTCTTAGTACAATAAGACGAAGTACAGTAAGAAAAATGTGCGTATGTTTGTCCTTATGATACATTGTCTTTATATAAATAAAGAATAGTGTTAAAATGAAATGTATTTTTTGTAAATTAAAAATAATTTTAACAAAAAAGTGTTCACGTAATTCAAAAGGTCCGCATACCGGTTCTGCGAAAACACGTCCAAGATTAATTACCTGACGACTTTCCCCTTATTATCATCGTTTACTACGTTATTACGTTTTTATCTATACGTATTAACAAACATAAATTATGACAATTACATGTAGAAAGTAAAAAGCCTAAACTCTTCTATTTTTTCTTTCACCCAGAAAAAGACTTTAGTCGAGTTTTTTTAGTTATGAGTCCATTTCTAATGATTAAATTAACGATATTTAATCTGTGGCCGGGAATTTCTTTTTAAATTAGGAAAAGCAAATAGTCAAGTTCACCTAAAAGTAAAGTGATTTTTGAAGTAATTTATATTCGAAGGGGATATCATAAAATATCAAATAAAACATGAATTCTTCGATGTCCAAGCAGTAATATACGAAATAGTGGAATTTGTTATAGGTCTAACAAATAACTTCTATGGAGTTTTTATTAAAAGCATTCTTGCATTTTATTAAACGTCATAAAACTTTCATTTTATATCAATAATGCGATAAATTTTACGAGCACGGCAATCGTAAACTGAAGAAATCGAGAATTGATTTTACGACGGTCGCCGCGTAATTTTATTGTAAGTGGCATTTTTTGGAAATACCAGCCAGCACATATTCCATTGTTACTTTGAAAGTTTGATAGTTTCATTTTAATTATTTATTTAACATTCAAAATTATATTGATGTTACGGTTCTCTAGATTATTAATTACTAGTTGTTACTCGCGATTTCGCCTGCGTGTAATCAAAAAAAATAATAAAATCATAGCCTATATTACTTAGTTATAACATAGCTTTTTAATGGTACGACTTTTTGAAATTGGTCCAGTAGTTTATGAGTTGTTTCAATACATACAAAAATTCAAAAATCCGAAATACAAATCTTTCCTCTTTGTAATATTAGTACATATAGATAATTATTTGTTACTTATCTAAGCAAAAAATATTATAAGAATTGTCTACTCTAAAATGAGTCACAATTTTTATATCTTTTTTTTTACATTCTAAGTTGATTCCGTTTCAATCGAAATATAGAAATGAATAATTTTATAGTTGAACAGCGCCATCTATATTTTGACAATAAAGCAAATAGAGGCCACATTTATTTAGAGACGTTCAACATTGAAAAGAGAGGGCTTAATTTTTGTCGTGTATAGATCTATTGGCTATTATTAAATCATGATTATTGGCATAAAAAATCCATTACAAATAGATTAACAAATTTTTTTTACATAAATTTATTCCATACATTAAAAGATGATTATTATCTATGACAATATTTACGCTTCTTTTGATAACACATTCAGTAAAAATTCCTTATACTCTTCTTCTTTGACGGAATATACTACTTTTACATTTGCATCTTCCTTCTCAACGAAATGATTTGTGTTTATTCCTCTTTCTTTACCTGAAAGTCAAACACAACATACCCACATTAGCCTATTGGTTGTGTTAAGAAGAAAATCTGTACTGCGCTGAAGGTTTGTGCAACACTAGATCATTGGCATATACGTCCCATCACTATGACAGCTGTCAATGTCATTCATACGTATTAAGACGCCACGCCATTCTTGCGGGATCAGTAGCTGAGTATTCAAGTTAATTACGTTTATACAATTAAAACCATCTCTAATAATCTAAGATATCTAAGCGTCACATTTGGCGACACCGCCTATCACAGATTATTATGGGAAAGATGGATTAGGAGACTGTGGATTGTATACGAGAGGTTTAGCGACATTAAAAGAACAAAGCGCTGTCACAGCACTCATAGAACTTTCAAAACTTTCAAAGATATATGAAGGTAAACAACAATAATATATATAGAATAGTCACTAGAAATTGTCAAAATACTAACGCACGCGACTTCGTTCTTGTAGATTTTTAAATAAGTCAGATAAGATACGAAATACAAATTAAGATGTTGAGCATTTAAATCCCTTATTCGATGAAATTAAGACACACTCTGCTAATCTGACTTAATTTTATAAAATAAAGAAGTTTATTTGGATGGATGGATGTTTATAAGAGTATGTAGCCTAAACTATTGAATGGATCTCGATGCAATTTGTCATAGACGTCGAGGATAGTCTGGAAGAACACATGAGCTAATAACTTTTTTTTTGAGAAGGCTAGTTTCCTAATAAAAAATGATTCTAACTCACCGCAAGTAATAATACCATTCTTTGAATATTTGTATTCTTCTACTAAATCCTCATTAATAGCAACCGCAACAGCTGCCGGGTCCAATGCCTGCCACTCCTCGTTTTTGTCTATGGCTATTTTTTCAAATTGATTTTGCGCACGCATTATATCAGTGTCTATTTTACCCAATGATTCCAATCTCCAATCCTATAAAACGTGTGAAATTAGTACTGTAGTCTTTGGAAGTAGATTATTCATAGTAACTGTAAGCTTAGAATGGCTGATTATGTCATGCTAAACAAAGTAAAATTAGCTAAGGCTGGGGGATCAGTAAATCAATGACATCCTAGCAGGTATTCAAAGAGATTAAAATAATATATAGAGGAGGAATAGTTGATTTTTTATATAATAAAAGGGGGCAAACGAGCGGCGTGAACACCAAGGTGGTCAACGACGCCTATGGACATCCGCAACACCAAAGGAACTATAGATGCGTTGCCGGCATTTGAGGAAATGATAGGCTCGCTTCTTGAAGGACCCTAAGTCGTATTGGTTTGAAAATACCGCCGAGGACAGACCGTTCCACAACGCGGCTGTGCGGGGCAGAAAGTTCCGCGAAAACCGCACGGCTTATACTTCATTTGAGACATTTTTCACATGATCACTGATACTATCTATTCGTAGATATTCAAAACCACATATCAGGTACCAGCGAAAAGATTTTGTTAATTATGCCTCGTCTACATTTTTAATGTCTTTGATTATAGTACTATTTTTGAAACTCTCTTCTGTTGTTGGTAGGAGCAAATAAAATTATACTCACCCGTGTGAGGTTTAGGTAAGTTTTGACTTGTGAGAATGGAAAAACTGTCACTTTATCAGGCGTCGCGTATTGTGTGACGATGTGGTACGCTTCAATATCCATACTTGCATTGAACTCTGGCTCAGGATTCTCTTCATCTGAAATTAATTTAAAAATTACGTAAACATTAAATATTTTAATCATTCAATTCCATTAAAACTATGTATTTTGTGGGTCCATTTTGGTGATGATAGAAAAATAAATAAATTTATTATCTATACTTCTATACTATTATAATAAAGCGTAAACACACACTTCTTTGTTGCCTAAGATGTCAGCAATTACAGCATACTTTTGAATAATTCTTTGTTAAATGAAAAGACCTACATATATGTCACGCTTTAGGCTTTATATTTTCACGCTGTTAAAGTTAGGGGTAAATATTTTGGTTAAAAACCCTAATGTGGGAACGAGACCATAAGTTGTAGCCAACATTAAGGAAGCAAGGTTGCCAAGGTTTGTAATGTCATGTCATTTTGATATCTGCTATTGATAATTTGACAAATGTAAACAATAAAATAAAATTATCATGATTTCATGCAGATGAAGCCGCACGGGAACAGCTAGTTTTTATCTAAAACGTAACTGTTGTCTGCATACTTTAATTTAACCATAAAACCTAAATGAAATCTCTTTTCAGTTATAAACACTAACCTTGTATATGTCCTGCTGCGACATATAATTGTTTTAATCGACCCAAGAAATCTGGATCCAGTTTGATTGCTAGTGCCACATTGGTTAAAGTTCCTAATGTAATTACTATTAAGTTACCTGAAACAAAAGCATTGAGAATTGGAGATGATAGCCTTATTAATGTAATAAATACTAAAGCAAATGGATAGATGTTTGTTAGAGTTGTAGCACGGCTGAACGTAATTCGTTTAAATTTAGTAGAAGTAGAAGATAATCTGGAATAACACATAGGCTACTTTGTTTTTTTTTCAACACGATCGAAATCGCGTGCGTTAGCATTCGATAATTTGTAGTAACTATTCTATAGATATTATTGCTGTTTACCTTCATGTATCTTTGAAAGTTCTATGAGTGCTGTGACAGCGCTTTGTTCTTTCAATGGCGCTAAGCCTGTCGTATACAAACCACAGTCTCCTAATCCATCTTTCCCGTAATAGTCTGCGATGGGAGGTGTCACCACAAGTGACGCTTCGGATCCTCTGTAAATCGGAACCTGACAAAAATGTTTTTCAAATAACATAACAAGCTTTTATATCTTCCGTCCCGCGTTCCAAATGCAAGAGTATTCAATCGAATTTGAAAAAGAAAAAGCTTTTAAAAAACTTAGTCCAGAAAGTTGTGTTAACATTGGATTTTTAATAGCATTTAGAACTGGCCACACCTTTGTGTAAACTATCGCACAACTGATGTGCGATTGTCGTCTGTTTCGCAGTCAGTTTATCTGTTTAGCACAACTAAAAATCGAGTAGTGTGCGAACATCCATATAAGTGATAGAAATCAAAGCGAGACTGCACAGTTGTGCGATAGTTCAGTTCCAAGTGTACACACGCTTTTAGAGTCTAAGGTTAATTTTTTACTTACATCTTGTCTTTTAGCGACTTTAAGTATTCTTTGATTGTTTCTGCAAACATTTTCCAAATTTGTGTTCCCATTGCCAGTTGTTAAGCCGATCAACTTTGGGCTGAAACATTATAATCCTACTTCTAATATAAATGCGAAAGTTTAGATGGATGGATGGATTTTTGTTAGAGTTTGTAGCCTAAACGGCTGAACGGATCTCGATGAAACTTGCCATAGTTGTAGAGGATATTCTGGAAGAACACATGGGCTACTTACTTTTTTTTTTTAATTCCACGCGGACGGAATCGCGGGCGAAAGCTAGTATTAAATAAGTAAACGGATTTACATATACACAGACTAACGGGTACATATATTTAGGCGACTAGAATTTTGGATGATTTAAAATTTACCCTTCGAAATGTTTTTCGTACAGTAAGGCAAGGAATATAGCCATCGCGTCATCTCCACCGGCATCATTATCGATGATTATCTGCGGTCTGGATCTACCCCTGAAATTAAAAATAAAAAAATATTTATGTTATTGCTTTCTTTTTCACAATGATGTAAACTGGCAGGTACAATAAAGAAAAGAAAAATACATTCTACATCTTTGTTAATTTAAAAATTAGATTATAGCACCAACTGAACTAATAGATGCCATTTGAGTAAACACATAATTTTGCGCAGAAATCGTCATACTAATAGTACGGTTTTCATAAAAATGTCCTATAATGTCATCTTAAAAATTCCCAGGAAATGAGCAGACAGAACATTAAGCTCACACTCACCTATGAGTTAGTACGGTTGTCATAAACAAAAACACACACACAAACGTTTTCATAATATTCACACAATTCCTGTTATCACTCATAACGCAAACGCCACTTCTACTATTAAACGCTGCTATACGTATACTAAATAACGAACTGAACTATCTATTCATTTGAATCTCATCGCATCTGGTCTTGTGGCGTATTCAGTTTGAACCAGTTACTTGCTAGCTACTAAACCCATCTACTATCTAGCATATTTCAAATTTCAATTCTAACTTTAAAAATTTAAAAATTTAACTGTTTTTACGGCACGTGATCTTTATACAAGAGGCACATGATTTGTAGTCGTCGACCTCGAGTAAGGTAAACAGGAGTTAAGCATATATAATCTTTTATATTGAGTTACCGTAATAAAACGGTTTGGCGTATACTAAAATTATAAATTTTTAATTAAACTCACGTTACAGACGTACATCCACAGATTAGCTAGGTTTTGTAACAAAAAATAGGATAGTTAAAAATAAACCAAACAATACTTACTTGATCGAAGACATAACCGATTTCTTTATCGATACAATGCACAACCTAACACTTCAATTGTATACTCTGTACTCGGAATAATGTCGAAATGTGTAAATTTGAATATTTGATAAAAGCGGTTATTTGAGTCATTGTTACCAACACGTGCTTAAAATAGAAGAGACGAGCGTCCGTACACAATGTAATTATGACGACACAATGGATTTATATTCTGGATTCGACATAAATACTCAAAATATTACTATAAGATTAAAAAAATATTCAACTACCTACGTTGGAAAGTGGAAATAGTAAGTTTTAAGAGAAAACATTTTAAGGAAGACAACTTAAGAAACTGCTAGTATTAAATTAAAACAACTGAAAAGCACAATAAAGATTCATTAGATGTGGTCATTGAACTACATTTTCATATATTTTGGACCCTTCCCAAAAGAAGGAGGTATTCAAATCGTCTGTTTTTTTTACTGTATTTAATACTAGCTGTTCCCATGCGACTTCATCCGCATACAATTATAAAAATTTCATTTTATTGTTAACATTTGTCAAATTTTCAATTGCAAATGTCAAAATGACATGACATGATGTCATGGCAACCTTGCTTCCTTGATGTCGGCAACAACTTATGGTCTCTTTTCCACATTAGGGCTTTAATCCAAAATATTAACCCCTAAGTTTAACGGCGTGAGAATACATAGCCTAAAGCGTGACCTAAGTGTAGGGCTTTTTATTTAAAAAAGGTTATTCGAAAACATGCTGTGATTGCTGACATCTTAGGCAACAAAGTGAGTGTTTACGCTTTATTATAATAAAACATAAGTAGCATAAAGAAGGCATCATTGTTATGTAATTTATCTCCTTACAGCGATAACGCATTATCGTATTGTATGATAAAATGTTCATCTAATACAAAGTGCCATATTATTACATGTTTTATTCCTATTAGATTTTCGCCAAATATTTTTACGATAAAAATGAGTTGAAAACTCTTTTAAATAAATGAATTAAACGCATTTTTAAAAGAATTCATTTTATTTTACTTATATCTTTTTTAATGAGATACTAATATTTATAACTTAAAATTATGTTAAACCAGCAGAAAATATGTCCAAAAGCATGTTCTTGTACGGTTCTTCTTTCACTTTGTAAACAATTTTTGAATTGATTGTTTCGGTTGATGTGAAATTGTTTGTGTTTATGCCCCTTCTCTCTGTAACGGAAAAAAATTCAAAGTTTTATGCAAACAGTATCTCATATAGGCAGTAGGTATTTGCAAATCAACGACAACAAAATTGCATTATTCGGCAATTTAAACCCACAGTTATATCTAAATGCAAACAAACATAACAATTAAAAATCAAGTTGAGGTAAATATAATTAATGTTAGCGCCATCTATATTTTACTTTTAGTAACTACCACAACTAAACTGGAGGCAACTTCAATTTGAAAATATCTAGTTTCCACTGGGACACATAGATGGCGTTAAAGTATACTTATTTCGGAACTTCGTTACATAAGATGAAAATTTGTTCGTTTTTTGCCCCATAAACTTACCGCATAAATCAATAGTGTTGTAAGTATATCTCCATTCTTCAATAATCTGAGTTTCATTAAGCACTATCGCCATAGCAACCGGGTCTAATAAGCACCATTCCTCACTTTGAACTATAGATTTTTGTTCAAACACGTTCAATGCTCGTATCAATTCACTTGGTATTGAGCCTAAAATTGAGACACGCCATTCCTGTAGCAAAATTCAAATACTCAACAAGGAATATAAAAAAAAATGTAATGTTAAGAGTTAATGATAAATAACTACATTTCGATTTTAAGGGCAAAAGGAGTCATTTAGTAAAATAAAATTAAAAAGCTAAAACAAATTATATGAAATAGGATACCTATTCTCTTTAGTTTTTGACACCGTCAACAACTATGGACTTTCAAGCAATGAAAACCTACGATCACATTGTAACGATTTCAAAAATACTTACTCTACTAATATTATGAGATATGTATACTTGAGAGAAGGGGATCAAAGTAACAATGTCCGGTCGACTGTTCTGCAACAAGACATGATACGACTCAACATCCATTTCTGCGTTAAATTCTGGTTCATTATGGTGCTCACCTGTAAAAAACAAAAGGGTAATTACCTTAACCTTCTTATCCTACTCTCGGGTCGGCGCAACAGATTTTTGTCCTCCGTATACTCTAATATTCATCATCTCAGTCATCACTCCCTCCTTGATCATGTCACCTTTCACGCAATACATCCATCTCTTTCTATGTCTACCTGTACCGGTAAACCACACTCATAACTAACGTTCTCCTTGTTACATGATTCATCCCTCCTCACAACATACCATACCATGCTAACCTTTTACTCCTTACTTTCTATACCACTGGGGCTACTCTCATTAGTAGGGTATAACCATCAAGAATCCATTAAGTAACAAAATTTAAAATAATATTAAGAACACACTTTATTTTAAAATAGCATCTATCAAATGATTTTGTAAAGAATAAAATGCATAAAACAAAGATTTAATCAATGTAAAAATATACATTTCCTGCTAGAAGATTGTTGATGGTTTAAATATTATTTACGAGCTGTTGCCCGCAACTTCGTCCGCGTGGTATTAGAAAACATACGAACTATATAAATTACAAAAAACTACGTATCCCTCGGGAACCGGACACATATCGGGGATGAAGCTTATCCCATGTGTACTCCAGACTATGCTCTAAACCTGTGCCAAATTTGATGGAGATCCGTTCACACATTTAGGCTACAAACGCTAACAAACATCCATCTATTCATCCATCCATCTAAACTTTCGCATTTATAATATTAGTAAGATAAGATTTATTTTACTCACTGTAAATGTGTCCGCCTGCTACATATAATTTGAGGAGTCTATTAACAAAACCTGGGTCTAATCGTACCGCTATTGCGATATTTGTCAACGGCCCCAGCGCAACCACGATCAATTCTCCTAAAATAATTAAAATATGTAATAAACACACTATTAAAAAGTTACATATCTACTAATTTACCTGTTATTTGAATTACGTAAATGATAATTTCGCACTTGAATAAATAACTAATTAATTTATTGGTTTGGTTTATACAAAACCAGCTATTTCAACAATAAACCGATAACAGTTGTACAAACTGACTTTTTTATTTACATAAGGGGGCAAACGTGCAAGCGGCCACCTGAATCCGCCAAAATGACAAAGCGATCGCTGCCCATAGACATCCGTAATTGCTGATGCGTTGCCTAATCTTATCCGACGGAGGAGGAGACGCACAAAAAGAGGATATTTCCCCTTCCTATGCATCTCCTCTACCCTCAAATCCACTTCCCGTTCCCATCCTCTCCTTATAAGAAAAGGGTGGTAAAGAGAAAGGGACTTAAATTAGGCCTCTGGCACCACACTCATCAGACGAAACACAGAATTTCTTCCATTTCATGCCTATCTTCTGTGTGGTTGTGGTATAACACCGGGCGAGCCGGTCCATTCGTGCTAAGATTTTAAAGCGGGCACTACCACTGTTAAATTTAAGTCAACACCACGAATTCTTACCTTCAAATTTCTTTGACATTTCTATTAACGCCAAAGCGGCCGGATTCGACTGAGCTTCAATAGATTCATATTCCAAGAAATCAGTCTCACTGTCTCCAAATCCGTCCATACCAAAATAATAATCAGATTCTATTCCTTGCACAAGAGAATATTTACTACCTCTATAAATAGGTATCTGTAAGAAAATCTTTATTTTAAAATGCATATGATCGTGGTCTTTGAGTGCCTTCTATCGGAAGTTAGAAATAATTATAGCAACTTGAAACGTTAATGTTGCTCTTAATAGGGAACTGATGACTGAATGAACTGATACGGGAATGAATGTGATAATCGAAATTAACAAAACAAATTCTCTTTTTTTTTAATGTCATAAGGTGGAAACATTTGATTTTCAACGAATAAATTCAATTGTTGTTCGAAATTCGAAAATGAAAGAAATTGGATGTTTGAATTCTGGTTGTAAACCATATTTCTGATAAGAATCAGATGTGGTGTTTGTAATAAAAAAAAGTATAATATCATTTGTAATACATACGTCTTTCCTGCCAATGATATTTAAAATTTTCTGGCTATTGTTAAAGACTTGAGGCTCATTAACATTGCCGTGTGTTGTTGTTAATGCGACCACTTGAAATCTGAAAGGGGAAGAAGAAATTGTTACACTCTCCAAGTTAGGATAATTATTTTTAAACATTTTATTTAAAAAAAATATTTCACATAGCTTGTTACAGAATTATTCAACTCGATCCAATAGTCAATTTAATGGTAGAACCTACCCATTAAAATATTTTTGGTATTGTAGAGACATAAATATAGCCATTGCGTCATCAGCTCCTCCGTCATGGTCGATTACAATTTTGGGTCCAGGGACAAAATCTTCTGTAGTACTGTAGACAATTACATAAAATAAATAAATACAAGAAGAAGTAATTTATAAGCGTAATAGATGTAAGTAGCAATATAGGTACAGTAAAAGCCATAGGGAAAGAAATAATCATACTAATATTATAAATGCGAAAGTTTTGATGGATGGATGTTTGTTAGAGTTTGTAGCCTAAACTGCTGAACGGGTTTCGATTAAATTTGGCATAGTTGAAGAGGATAGTCTGGAAGAACACATAGGCTACTCACTTTTGTTTATTTTAATTCCACGCGGACGGAGTCGCAGACGAAAGCTAGTAAGACTAATAAACACAAGATGAATAAACTTATAATCGTAATAGTTATAAATAGCAATATAGATAAAATAAAAACAATAGGGAAAGAAATAACAACAAAATATTGGAACGATTAAAATAGATCTACAAAAGGTCAGGATAATTAAAAAACTATTATAATAAAGTATTAACTAAAGCAATATCCTCGAAAGTTGGAAAAGATAGTACTGAAGTAACAAACGTAATATGAGATTACCTTTAGGTAATCATTAAACTGCCTCTTGAGAGTAATATAATATTATCGCTGAAGGAAATAGTTAAACACTTGATTATATGTATTATGAAATGAAAGATAAACACAACATGAAAATTAACACATTATCTGAAACAAAACACATAAATATTACTGTTCTAAATTTAAAAGTGCACACAAGAAAGAAAGGGGGCGTATTTCAACGCAATTGTTTTAAAACTATAAAAAAATGACGAAGAAAAATTGCCTAAATTCGACAATCTTGAAATATTAAAAAATGTGTTTAATTAGAATTAAATTGAGAATAAGTTACCTACTATTTATCGCAAAATCAAATCACAAATAAGTAAAAATTGATATATAGTGCAATTATAGCCAAAAAAATCAATAAAACAATGATTTAAAAAAAAATGTAACTACGATCTGCAATATCACAGTTATAAAAAGTCTTGTTAAATGAAATGAAAAATTTAAATTCTTCTTAACTCTTAAATATAAATGAAGATTAATATCTTACCTTCTAAAATAATACAATAAAAATAATATTAAAATTATCATCACTAAAACGGCTGTTATTGTTGCTATGATGTAATTGTATCTGTTTTTCTTCATTTTAGAATCCAAATTCGCGGAATATATAAGCACTTTTTGTGTCCCAAACTGGTATTGTTAAATTAATATTATAAGTGAAGCATTTATCAAAATAAAAGAAACTATTTAAATTTAAACATATTTTTATCCGTATCAAATTGTCATGAACGTAACTTTTATTTTACTTTGTGATGTCACCCACTGGAACTATCATAAGACTGGAACGTCTACACGAGAACTGGCGCCACTCGATAGCCATACGTTTACTAGTATGCCTTACCTTATCATTATTATCATGAACAATATGATATACTAAGATTAATTTTACAATTCGCAACATTATCGAATTATATAATTTGCATGGTTAATTACGTTGTAAGATATAGGAATATAACAAATCTGTTAAAAACATTCTAAGCAATGACGGAGAGTCCCAAGCGTTGGTAGCTAAGAATATAGTCTAGGGGTGGGGAACAGCGACCGTTATTATTGTCCTATACGTAGGAGTTTCTCTATTTATTGCAAATTTTTGGAGTATCTTGACTCCAAAAATGCTTTACTGATCCCTAGCAACATATACTGGCCAGCCTAGGTTTAATAAGAATCGTTTTGATTTTGGTTACATTTTCTTGATAAACCAAGGCTTGTAGTGTTGTTCCACTTTAGGAACTATGTGAGGGTTTAGTAAAACGCATATAATAAAGTAACTATTCTATATGAATAGATGGCATACGAGACATTCTTAAATATCCTAAAAAGCTACTCTAACATACAACTTGGTCTATACTCTATTGTAACACTAGCTTTCGCACGCGACTCCGTCCGCGAGGATTTAAAATTCAAAAGTGAAAGTGAGTAGCCTATGTGTTCTTCCAGATTATTCTCTACGTATATACTATTTTTTATCGAAATCTATTTAGCCGTTTAGGCTACAAACTCTAACAAACATCCATCCATCCATCTAAACTTTCACATTTATAATATTAGTAAGATTAGTAAGATACAAGTAAGACAACTCCAACATTCAACTTCGTCGTCGTTATTGTAATAAAATATCACAACGATAGTAAATTAACCATGAACACGATAAGAACACTTTGTATCGATACAAAACAAAAGAAGGCACTGTTTCTTGAATGCAACTGTTGATAAAGTACCGAGAGATAAAGCGCATTTGTTCTTGAGTAGTTCAACTGTTAGGATTATTCCCAACCTTCACCTCGCTCTATCCCCACGTGAGAATAAAAAGTTTCATCCGTCCCACCTTTGAGTCCAAATATCACCAATAAGGTGAGATGACCGTTAAGAAATAAAATAAGTTCCAACCGTCACCTTGTCGCAAAACGTGGGATGGTGTGGAGACATACGGGGTGACGGTTGGGAATAATCCAACTGTTAATTATTTTTAAGCCACTAATTAATTAAAAATTATATGTCTAAATTAAATATCTTTATTGTCTCTATAAATATACTTTTTCCATACTTTGATAATAAAAATTTGTTTTACTTTTTGGTACAATTGTGACTTTATCAATGATGTATTTAAATACATACATAAATACTTTGTTTTTAAATTAGCCAAGCGTTTCATTTGAGCCTCACGTGAAGTCAATTGAATCGATTTATGTTTATTATTCTGTCTCCGTTCATTTATTGCCGGTCTATTAATAAAAATCGATAATTTAAGTAATATTACATCGCTATAGGCTCTGTCGATTAAACCATACAATCGTTGCTTCTTTGTTTTTATTTTACACTTATTTACGTTTGTTGATGACTTCATTTGCTTTGATGTTATACTGATTGATTTACTAGCTTACTCCCGCGACTACGTCCACGTGAAATTAAACAGAAGTAGGTACTCTGTGTTCTTCCTGACCATCCTTTACATCTTTAACAAATTTCATCGAGATCCATTCAGCCGCTTAAGCTCCAAACTCTAACAAACTTCAATCCATCTAGCTAAACCTTCGCATTTATAATTTTAGTACATACGTTCTCTCTCATTTTGTCATGTGGTTCATAAGTTTATGTTCGGATTGTTTTTTTTAATGGACTTTTTAAATTATTTCCTTGAAAATGGAACAAAATATCGCCCTCTAACTGTAAGCTAGATGACTACGAATTTAATTGAAAAACTTTACAGCTGCTTTAATTCATCCATCATACTCTAGATGGCGCTAATTATAATAAAGAAGGAGTTTCTGGTAATATATTGTTGAGTATGTACCAATTTTTACTTAAATTATATAGTGGTCTGAACCCATAGTCACAAGATCAAATATCGTCAATAATAAAACAGAAAGATTTGTCATTTATTGTACTTTTAAAATAACAAAATAATAGGCAGACATTTTTAATCTTGTGATGTCAATATAATAAATGGATAATAGGAAAGAATCACAGTTTTATAAATTCCAAATGAAATTATGTTACAGCGTGATCAGGGCTTTCCCAACTATAAAGTTTCTAATCCATTCGTGCTATCTAATCAGTTTCGACACAAACTCCTACGTTTACTTTGAAAACTAAAGTACTAGTTACTATTACTTTGAGAATTAACCCAATTCTTGTTCTAGTTTTATTGCTATATAAATATATTACGTAATAATATAAAATGAGTCTACAGGAGACTAGAGGAAAAAGCAGTATATACAATTCCATCTTGCACCTAACAAATATTCTTCGCTTCTTGTATGGAGGGTGCAAGAATACGTGCTGTTTTCAGCAATAAACATTTGAGATTTCCCGAAATTTAATGAAAAAAATCAACAACTATTTTAATTTTTAAACTATTTAATAACATAAAAAATATTGCATTCTTTAAAATTTATGTCGAAAAAAATACAAAGATGTTACAAATGCAACTTTATTTCTTCTTCAAATTGCTGACTTTTGTTAAGTGACTTCTTAAATTAATTTCTTCTTGTTGAGTTAATATTTTTAAGTTGTTATTTTGCGATCATCCTAAAAAAAACTTGAAAATTTGTAGGCATCAACCGGAGTTTACAAATTACAGATACTAGGTAGGAAGAGATTTAAAAAAAATACCTCATTAAAAAACCACCAGTCTCTCAAGTTACTTGAAACATGCGAGGGCATGAATGTCGCGTAATCAGGTGCACTCTCGCTGATTTTAACATGATTAAATGCGTTCTGTAATTAAGATTTTGATTTCAATCATATTTATAAGGATAAAGGCGCAGGATAGCATTCTCTGGAAGGCATTGGCAAAGCCCTACTAGAAGTGAGCAGACAATGGCTGATGATGAACATGACAATGATGTTGATGTTTACAAATTGCATTCGAATCATACTGTTCCTCTAAAAATAAACACATATATACTAATACTAACATTATACACCACACTACAATAAGTCTCTCTCTCTCTCTCTCTCTCTCTCTTTCTCTCTCTCTCTTCTATTCCTATGTCCCCAAAGTGGAGCAGAGGGCGTCCACAGTACGCCGCCAGCTTGCTCTGTACTGGGCTCTGCGTTGTGTCTCAGACCTTGACAATATGCCTAATTATCTTGACTTCAAATTATGGCACACCTCTCATAATAGTGTAATTGTGTTTAAATTTATTTCAATACATACAAAAAAAAACTTTCCTCTTTATAATGTTAGTATAGACATAGATTACCATTGTCTTCATCAGTTCAGGAAATTTCTGTTTCATTGCATTATTCTCTGACATTTCTTTGTCTTCTGGTTTATCCTCTTCAGAGTTAAATTCACCTGCTGCACTCGAGTCTCGTAAACCTTCTTTTAGTTTATTTAAATTTTCTGTCTGAAACAATGTTTATTTCCTAACTCTTAAATATCGGATTTTAGTAATAATAATTAACAGATTTTTCTCACTAAATATTACTTACAATAGGCTTTACAGGTCGTAACCTGAAATAAGTTTAACATGTTTGTAACTTCTAATCTGTATGTTTACTTTATCTATGTCTGAAACAAACCTGAGTATTTGGTAGTCCTGTGGATCAGTTTGTATTGACTGTAAAAACAATGTTTTATGTGAAATAAAATTGCTATATTTCTTCATGATTCTTCAAGCTTTATGTCGTTCGATATTTAAAATTAATTTCTAACCTGTATGTTGTTGCTGAAACAAATGACAAGCGAAATATTATTAAACTAAACTTGGACAAGGAATTGTCTGTCAAAATAAACAAAAGATGAGCACAGCTACTTTTCTCCGAAACGGCTGGGCCGTTTTCGACGGGACTTTCACTGGAGGGGAGCCGACATAGATAGGCATATTATTGACTACATTTGTATAAAATTCCGCGTTGTCAAAATGGCGTAATGGGTGGTCCAAATTTGCGCTAACGAAGTTTGCGGGCGACAGCTCTTGATAAATAAATAAAATAGGTCTTTGGGAGGTACCCTAAATAAATTACTAAAGCCACCTGTGAATGACTTTAAGTCATTTTTCTCGCATATGAGATAACTTAATATACTTTCGACAGATATTGTACGTGCGATAAAAAAGCGTTATCCTTTAGCGCCGTATCTAAAGTACTTCGCATGTTAATATGTATATTATACGAACCTTGACGTGAATATGAAAAAATACGCAATATTTCACGCGAAGACGTGAAATATCAGGCATATTTTTGGTACATCAATTTCTATATCATTAGTTTAGTAGGTTATATTTTTAGTGTAAATTTCTAAAACACTAGCTGTTACTCGCGACTTTGTCCGCGTGAAATTAATTACTAAAAATATAGCCTATGTAACTGATAGCCTAGGTAGCTATTTAATGGTAGACGAATGAAATCGGACTAGTAGTTTTTGAGTTATTTCAATACATATTATAACACGATTTTTTTCTCTTTTATCAGCATTTTCTAAATAAAAATTAAGATTACAGTTTAAGGTACTAATTAATAAATTCTTAATGTTTATTTTTTATGTTTTCATTGAAAGTTCAAAATTATTTACAGACGTCACTCACAGATATTGCGATTCAGATTTTTCTGTCAACGACTTGAGTGCCTTAAAATAAAAAAAAAAATGAAGTAATGGAAAGTTTTATGTCTACGTAGATGCAAGGCAATGTAATTTATCATACTATTAGTATTATAAATGCGAAAGTTTAGATGGATGGATGGATGAATGTCTGTTAGGCTTTGTAGCCTAAACGGCTGAACGCATTACAATGAAATTTGGTATAGATATAGCGGATAGTCTGGAAGAACACATACATAGGCTACTTACTTTTGTTCTTTTTTTAATTTCACGCGAACGGAGTCGCGGGCGAAAACAAATTTATTTGTAAACAGAAACAATATTAGTGACACTTACCAAAGCATCTAACAAAGTTAGAATAACAAGATTAACGTTTCTGAAATTATAATGAAATTTATTATAAATTTTAATGAAATTGTCATTTTATCAGACAGCATTTTTTTAAATACCCTTGCAGATTGAGTTGTTGCAGCTGTTGTAAGAAATTCCTAATTGTGTCTTTATTTTCCTATAAAAAAAGGATAAAGTTATTTGAAAAGAAAAAATAAAATGTTGAAATTTAAAAAAAAAATAACTTACTAAATCCAGAACTGTTGAAATTAATTTAAATCTGTAAAGATCTTGATGTTATTTACGATATACTGATATTAATAAGAAAATTTTTAATTTTACTAAAACAAATGAAATACCTTGGCTTTAATTGATTTTCTGTATTCTTTTCTGGGACAACCTGAAAAATCCTTAGATTGCTGACACAAATACAAGGTGTGGTCTATATTTTAAAGAATTCGTTTAAGAATATATAACCAAGCTGATAAAATTAAAGTATCTTCTAAAAATCTTCTTAAAAAGGATTCCAATAAAATATTTTAACTTTTTTGCTTACCATAATATAATCAGATGCCCGCCTTCGGAAATTTGTATACATTACTCTTTCATTCGCACCATTGTACCTACAAGATAAATAAATATTACTCATAAATAAGAGCAAAATATTGTCATCCCTCTTCAATCTAATAAACAAAACAGACACAGCAATATATTAATTGTTACGTAGCAATCGAATTATTTCTAAAACTAGCTGCTGTTCGTTACTTCGCCCGCGTGAATTGAAAAAAATATAGCTTATGTGCACAAATAAATTATCTTTCTAACGATAAAAGAATTTTTAAAATCGGCACAGTAGTTTTTGAGTTATTTCAATATATGCGAATCTGGTAATAATAACGAAGTAACGGCTCGTGCCGAGGCTCCTGAGGGAGCCCTCGAGATTAGTTACTCATAAACGAGGTTTATGCTAAGCGCCAACTGCGCTCGGCCACCTCAAGCTCGGTGAATCTGTAAATGCCTCTTCAAGGCAATGACCAATCAGTCACAAAAAAAAATCAATATACGAGTATACAAATTTTCCTCTTTACAATATTAGTACAGATAACTAACCGAAGTCCAATATTATCTGTGTTCCCATAAACACCAGACCCATCTTCAAAGTCCATATGTGGGAATTTCAATGAAGACTTTAGCATTCCCAACGCGGGTCTGATTAAAGTATGACCAGGTATTATGGGCTCCGCTAAAGGCAGATGTTTTGGTGAATGAGGCACACCAGCTATATTAGTCACTTCTCCTCGATCGTAACTGAAAAACGTTCTGCGCTGAAATCAAAATATATATATTACTTTTATAACTCACTGTAGTAATTTTGAAAGCGGATTATATCTAGAAAGTACCATGGCATCATTAAATATGTTTGTGAAAGAACTCTTTTCCGTAATCGTGCGTAATGATGTCACGTATTTTTTAACATTCTTATCTGCGTTTTGTGTTAACGGTAGGATATATCTTTATTCACTTTATCAA